ACTACTTTTTCGGCGGCGGTACTTAATGAGCGGGAAATGTGGTTCCACTGCTCGCATATGTCGGTTTGTTGAAGAGTGCTCTCTGAGACCAAGTGTGAGAGTCGAGTAGCGAAAGCACTGGCTGTCTGTTGTGATTACAGCTTTTCGACGTTAAGCTTTCCTTGCAGTTTTGGTCGCACATTTTTTACTGCACAGAGGCGGGTGCGTATCTTGGCTGCAACAAGATAGTGGTCCGAGTCGATGTTTGGGCCTCGGAGTGTGCGTACGTCTAAAACACCGGAATCGTGCCTTCCGTCTATCACAACATGATCGATTTGGTTTCTCGTTTTTCGATCCGTAGACAGCCACGTAGCTTGATGGATCTTTTTATGCTCATCCGAGGCTTTGCCTTGCTTCTTCACTGGAAGTGGTTTTAACGTGGCGGGTCCCAAACCCAGCGCACAACCTATTGCTGGGACGGAGGTGGTTTCGCAACCAAATACCCGTTTATATAGCGAGCCGCTTGCGCCAAGCAGACACCCGCTTGCAGCCGCACCTACTGCTGAACAGACGCTGCAGACTTCAGTGAGCCCTTAAACCGAAAATAACGACGATTTTACAGAAAACCTGTGATGAAGTTGATGAAACTCCAACGACGAAAACTTTGAAAAGAATTAATCTTACTTGATGTGTGTCGAAATATGAAGCTATAAAGGACCACCATGAATTATTCCTGTTCGTTTACAAAACCTTGAATGAAATGAGTATCTACGAACGTAATGGAAAAATTTTACAGAATTCTATGGATTTTGAATTTTTCGAAAGCTTGCATTCTATCAATGCCATTTACCAGATTTCGTTCCCAATAAGTTGAGAATTACAGACGATCAATTTGGATTTAGTATAAACTGTAGATCTAGTCAAAGATTTACATAATTAGCTCAGGAGGATCCGTGCCTATGTAACTAAATTTTCGAGAATCTACAGCATCTAAAGCATCTACAAAAATGGCAGAATCCCTTGAAATAGAGGCAGCACACAAAAGAATGGTTGGTAGAAAAAAGCATCAATAAAATCCCAAATTTGAGAGTTTAGAAGGCTACTTTCCAGTCACGGTGTTATTTCCATTCCTGGACTTGTACATAAAAGGCTTTGAAGATAAATTCACTAACCTCTAAATATATATATATCTTACTACCGAAAGCGATATTGCACCTACGAATCTATTAGAAGCGCTGTATAATTTTCCTGAGAAGAATTTTCCAAATATCAATATTTTGTTTAGGATTTTTGCGAAGTTACTGGTATCCACTTCAACACCGGAACGGAAGTTTTCTTGTTTAAAAAGAATGAAGACATCCTAAAGGAATAGCATAAATGAAGTAAATCCAATTCTTAACATGCCTGATTATATAAGTGGTACTGTGGGACGAAGGAGTCGTACATATACTTTTTTCCATTTTGTAGTGGCTTCGCTGCTTTGATCCTCCATTGTGACCTTGGAATAATTGTAGTAAAATGTGTGCACTCCATAATATGCAAATCATAAATGTGTGTATAAACTTTTTGTATGTATCTCTACTTTAGTGCTCATACTCACAACTTTCATCACCTCCAATGGTACTATTTTTATTTCGTGCAATATTATTTAGTTAAACAGGACTACAATAAGTCGTGGAGGAGGCCTATCGGGGAAATCACGTTAAAAAACGCGCCAATTGCACTACCCCACAAATAAAGTGTAAATTGTGCATATTATGGAGAGCAAAATTTTATTAATCGCTATATCTCAAAAATGGTAATCCTTAAGAAGACAATTTTTATAACAGTTTTTATACATAATTGCATAATCTACACTTTGTCTGACGTATTTTTGTGATAAACCTTTGACCTTCAATAAATTTTTTTTGCAGACTTAAGATCGATTTGGACTTTTGACATTTCATGTATCCCTCAGCTTTATGCGAATTATTGTAACCTTGAAGGTCTAACTTGACAGGGCAATATTTGAAAAAATTATTTAAACAATTTAATGCAATATAGAATAACAATATGGGTACCAAATGAAAGAGAAAATTCTGCTGCATAAGGACGAAAGATATTGAAAATGTTCTTTTAAAATGTTAACCTTGAGCATCCTTGCAAATTTTCTGTACATATTTATTTTTGCAAAAATTATAGGTTAAGGATTAATATACATGACCATATCCTCGAATTTCGTATTTCCACTTTGATAGCTTAAAAACATAAAAAATAATTAAAATGGCATTTTCAATACCTATTTTTCCTTGTGAACCAAAAAAATGAATATTTTTAAATTCTAAAGAACTTTTTCTTATATACCACAGTAACTTTAAAAAGTTGAAACAAAAGACGATTTCCGATGACTTCATCACTGATATTAATGACGAAGATTGAACTTATTGAACTTATGTACTTTATTATGAATTACTTATACTTATGTTTAAAAATAGGGTAAGATTCCCGGCCCTTTAACATGTAGCAGGTAAGAAAGCTACGTAAAACTTTAATTACCTTTGCGTAAGTCCAAGAGCTGATCTTTATATACATACATATGTATTATTGTTATTATGAATACTCAATATAGCCAGAAACTAGCGGATAAAAAAACACTGCTAACATTCAATGATTCGTTTTTTTTGTTTTTTTTGTTGAAACAAGAGAAGGAAATTATGTTAAATACTCATACGCCATGTGTTCACACGTTTTATCAAACTAAGGGCCGGTTGTTCAATGTCTGGTTATCACTACCACTACACTATCGACAATTTCGACATCATGCATGTAACATGTGATCGATAAAGCAGTCTTTGCACTTAACCGGAGCTTCTACCTCCGATTTGTGCTAATCAGACATTGAACAACCGGCCCTTAATAGGAAAAAAACCATTGATTACATGAACTTTCAAATAACGTCAGAAAATAAACTAAGACAATCACATTTTGATACGCGTAATTACATTTATTTTAAGTGCAATTTGTCTCCTTTGTTTAAATTTTTTGCTCCTTCAATTATTGGTTATGAATTTATTTAATGTTCTATCAAATTTAAATTCTAAAAAACTAGATTAACGTGAAATAATTACATATCATGGAAAATGTTGGGCGTGCCATTCGAACGATTTTAGAGTTAAATAAATAAAACGAAAACGGAAGTGACTTATAAAAAATGTGTTGTTGTGTAGCTTTTAAGGCAGTATCACACGATTGGTACATTTGTACAGATTTGCATATTTTTATATTGGGCTATTGGTACAAAATAAAAAATTGGGGCGACAATTTCTTCTTCGGTCACACGATTGGAACAATAAGGCGAACTTCTGTTGAAAAATTTGAAAATATCGTTTTTCATGATTGGGAGAAATGAAAATGTCATATCGAGGTCAACATGTTTTTTTTTCTGGTAACCCCCCTCTTTTATCTTGAGTTCAGAAAGAACGGAAAATTCTACGTTCAGGTAACATGTGGGGTTCATTTCACCGTCAGGGTAATAGGAAGCGCCAATCATCCTATTTTCGTTTCCACAAAATTTACGTCTGTTTTACTTATGCAATAAGTTGCATGAATTTAGTAGACTTGCGATTTGATATGTTATTCAAAGAAATTAAGAACATGATAATTATGAACATATATTTGACAGTTTCTGATGCTGTGCAGCTATAAGTCGTGTCCAGTGTAGAACTCGAGCTCGAGCTTTGAACTGCGCCAAAATATTGAGGCTTTTCGCCTTAAGTACAAGAAGCACGGCTTTAATGGCCACTTTTGTTTGCTCTATGCCATTTAGTGCCCTTCAAAATACGGCTTCGAGAAGTGATTTACGACTTTTCCATCAGAAACTATGGCCATTGGAAGATGACGTAATAAGTAAAAAAGCATTTTCGAGAGTGCATTTTTAAGCATAATAATAGACCTAGAAAAATAGATGAAATGAATGATGAATTCCAATAGATTTTTGTTATTTAATCCGAAGATCTTCTGCTTCTTTTAACTTCTTATTTCACCTCTTTTGGGCTCATTGCTTTTTGAAATATGAGCCTATATAAGTTAGAAAGAATATATTATTTTAATTATGGAACAATATCACGTTGAATATCTTACAATATTGCTTGCAAAATGAGTTCTATCTCTAACTAACTAAATAATAAAAAAAAAAAAATACCTGAAAATTCGATGAGTAAAAAAGATGATTCCGGTATAAATAGTTTTCAACCGAAAACACATGGATAGTGAAGAGAATAAGGAAATATTTTATTTTATTGTGAAAGAAGGCCGAAAATGCTCAAGAAAACTAGATTTTCAAACAATTTAGCGAAGGATATTCCGCGCTAAAAAACGTTTTGATATTTTGGACGGTTACATTACGTTAAAAAAATACTGCCAAATTTTATTTTCATATAGAAAGCTAATCAATGATTTTTTGTCGAATACTTTTTTATTGACTCCAAAGTAATACAAGGCAAGCGAAGAGAAGCAAGTATAATACAAAATATAGTATTCCTACTACCCTTTATTTACGGTTTTAACACTTTCTAAAAATCAGAAAATGTAAAACTGTTTCGAAAACTACAAGACTCGTATGTATTATTCGATTCCATTCGATCAAAGTGTAAATAAAAGAAATTATTTTACTTTAACAATTTTCAAAAATTATTCTTTATTTTTGTAATTATATAACTTTTGGCAGATAGATTGGGAAAATGGTGTTAAATATAACATATGTGAATTATAATATATAGAAAGAATTAGAGGAAACAATATACATACATATCATAATTAATAAAACAATTCATGAACCAAAAACATATGTAGAATAAAACTAGGCGATTACGCATAGTTGTGTGTATGTATGTATGTATGTATGTATGTATGTATGTATGTATTTATATGAATTATTACGTAAATAATTTTTTTACTAAATATGTATTGGATGCATTTTCTGTTATTTTACGTATAATTTTGTTTTATTGGATTTAAAATAAAATGCATAATTATTAACATAATAAAATACACAATATACATATATAAAATAAATATTAATATAAATTGTGTAAATAATTTTTATGAAATGATAAAGTCCTATTATATTTCGGTTAAATGAAAAGTATACAACAAACACAAAAAAACGACTTTTATTTCAGAATCTATTGTTTCAAAAACAAGCAGAAATGGCATGTGTACTACATTCATACGTGCATACATACTTATGTTCATATGTACATATAAATGCTGGAAATAGTTTCTAAAGTGCGGCCAGGCCGTGAAAAGGTTAAACGTTTTGGCTGCTAAAACAAAAATTTTTTTTTAGTAATGGCCATTGGATAAACTCTGATTGTAAAATAAGCAGTTTTCATTGCATTATTTATATTATTTTTCAATTGCAGAAACGTTTAAAAATATTTTAGTTTATTTTTTAAGGTTCTTTTGGACTTTTGAATCCTTGTAAAACGGCAAAACTTTGAAAATTTTAATCCACGTAAGACTAAGCAATTTTATGATATTTTTTTAATTTAATTTAATTCCTCTGCTATAAACTCGCTAATTCAATTTCATTCAATATATTATTTAAAATGACACAATGTAAGCAATTTTGGCAAATTGGATGCTAATAATATTGAGTTAAGTCCGAAATTTTTCTAAAATTGTTTCTAGTTCGGTTTTTTAATATCTGTATTTTATAGTTTGGCATACATAGAATATTCCAATATTATTAGAATATATCTAATTATTTTGAGTAAATTTTTTTCAATTATGTATGTATAAATATCATTTGTTATGCATTTATGTAAAAATGTACATATATCTATAACTGTTATGGGGGGAAAAAATAGCCAGTTGCTAAATTTCCAATTCGAATCGTCGCAATTGCTTTTGTATCGCACTTGTCGGCCTTGTCGATGTTGGGGTGTGCGTCGGCATCGGCATCGGCGTCGCCGTTTTCGTTGGTCTGGACCATTTCGTCTGCTCAACAACATCACTTCCGCTCGAACCGGAAGTGGGTGAACAAAAGGGATTGGGTACGTGCGAATGCCTCTCCAACACTGCTGTAGTTGAGTTGTATGCACTGCGGCTATTTTCTTTTAACGAATTTTTTTTCTTGCTGTGTTCGGCATACTGCTGTTGTTCTCGCTGTTGCTGCTGTGGCCACTTATCATCACCAACATCATCATCGTCATCCTCGCAATCATCTTCCCCGCTGTCGCTGTCATTGTCGGCGCTGTAATCGGCAGTTTCTTTTCGGTCAAAATTAGTTTTTGTGTTTGTTTTAGCTGCGGCTTGCAGCGAATCGTTTGCAGTTGTTGTTGTTTTACGTACAAACTCTGTAAAACTATTTAAATTGATGGCATTGCGCTCGGCTATGCACATTTGGCCATCTCGCAGCTTTGGGGCCGATGTTGCAATTCTTGTGGTTTTTGTAGTTGCAATGTGCGTCGCATTTGTTGCTGGTACTACAGTTTGCCTGCATGTCGCTACATCATTGCTTTTTCCCAGCTTCGCCATCCATCTGCTTGCTCCTGCTCTGTTGCTGTCGCTGTTTGTGTTATTGTTGTTGTTGTTGTTGTTGCTACTACATTTAATTCCACTAAGATTATTTATATTAATATTATTATTACTTTGTTCATTAGCATTTTTATTATGAATATTTGTATTTGTATTTGTATTGCTAATATTAGAATTGTTTTTGTTGTTGATATTATTTGAATTATAATTATGATTATAAATATTTTTATTAGCACTAGAAATCTTTGGTTGCTCCACTGGTTTTGTTGTTGTTAAAGTTGTTATTATTCTTGAGGAAGAGGGTTTGTTTTCCTGGCATAAATTTAATGCTCGTATTTCTTCTCTATCGGTTGTTTTTGTTCTCATGGTTATTACCATTTCTGACTTGTGACTATTGTTAGTATTTGCTGTGCCAACTGCAACAGTCGCTGGCTGATCAGCCATCGTTCCAAATTGTTGTTCTTCGTATCTCGATTGTTGTTGGCATTGTTGCATTGACATGCAAAGAACTTCTTCATCTTCTTCTTGTTTCTGGAAGCTGGAATTATCTTTGCTTTGACAAATTTGCGACTGGTTTCGCTGATTTTGACCATATGAACTGCCATCGAGCACCTGAACTTGCTCTTCGCCGCTTTCTGTGCTCGATTTTGGTGCTTTTATAGCTGCTTTTGGCTTTAGAGATATTGCTGAGTCCATTGGCACGCTGTTTGATGATGCTGGTGACGATTTCGACGCAGCTATTTCTGTAGGTGGCTCACTTTTGGCGTTCAAAGTACATTTTCTTGAGGTTGTTCGCAGTTTCTTGCCGAATGTGGAAGATTTTAAACCTGAGTTGGTTGTGAATACAAGAGTAGAATTAAATAAGTTATCGTTGTGTTGGAAATATATTATTTTACAAGAAATTTATTCCAAAGTTAGATGAAGCGATGAAACCATAGCCCACAATGGGGAAAAATTAGCTTGGTTTTTAAGCAATGAAATGATAGTGTGAATAACAAGTGATAGATGGAACGGTATGATGTTTTTGTGAATTTTAATACACGATATGTAAAATAAAAAGGAGCGGGAAACCAAAGTAGCTGATCAAGTTGCACATGCAATTCATTAAATTCTTCACAAGAAGTGAGCCGCTAAATTACGTTTCAAAATAAGTATATAAAATGTGTTTCGTAATTATAGTACATCAGCTAAGCTGCCCTTGAATCCTCATAAAAGCCGTTATAAGACACATTCATATCCTCATTCTGTTGCAGTGATTTTCGCCTCATAACTGTAGTACAAATACAACTTAAATAAGTGAAAACTAACAAGTAAGAAAGTCTAAGTTCGGGCGGAGCCGAACATTAAATACCCGGCGCAATTATTAAATATATGTTTTCCACCTTTCCGAAAGCTACCGCTACACGATAAGCCGGGGTGTATCAATTTTGAGTAAATTAGCGTCCTTCAATTTCGAAATATTGAAGTTTCAAGCATTTCTGAAATTTACCGTTATATGAGAAGCGGCCGTTATTTTAGTCCGATTTCAATAATTTTCAACGTTTTGTTTTTATTTGCCAAGCACAATAACCACACCGAGTTTGGTACAAATTGGTAGAACGGTTACCGAGATACATATATGTGATCATAAGTGGGCGGTGCCACGCCCATTTTTCAAAATTTTGTCTTAAGCGTATTTCTTGGTAAAGAATTGTTGCAAGCATAAATTTTGAATAAATTATCTTTAATATTTACTGATTTATCGAAGATTTCGTATTTCTCTAAATTACAGTTATATGGGATGTGGGCGTGGTTATTGTCGGATTTTAAAAATTTTCGGCCATTTCGTATGTTATACGAAGGTTAACAACGGTGCCAAATTTGGAAGAAATTGGTGCAGCGGTTACCAAGATATACACATGTACCCATATACACATGTACCCAAAATTTATAATATTCTTATTTTTCGTCTAAAACTTATTGTAAATATCAATTTTGAGTGAATAATCTTCAGTAGTTACTAAAATATCGCAGTTTTCATATTTCTGAAAATTACCGTTATATGGGAGGTAGGCGTGGTTATTGTCCGATTTTAAAAATTTTCGGCCGTTTGGTATGCTGTGCGAAGGCCAACAACTGTGCAAAGTTTGGAAGAAAGTGGTGCAGCGGTTCCTTAGATATACACATGTAACCATAAGTGGGCGTGGCTACGCCCATTTTCCAAAAATGTATAATATTCATATTTTTCGTTTAAAAATTATTGTAATTATCAATTTTGAGTGAATTATCTTCAATAGTTACTAAAATATCGCAGTTTTCGTATATCTGGAAATTACCGTTATATGGGAAGTGGGCGTGGTTACAGTCCGATTTCGCCCATTTCCAATACCAACCTACCTTGGATTAAGGGAAACCTACATACCAAATTTCGTTGAGATATCTCAATTTTTGCTCGAGTTATCGTGTACACGGACGGACGGACAGACGGACAGACGGACGGACAGACAGACGTGGCTTAATCGATTTCTTTTTTCATCCTGATCATTTATGTATAAATTTGTCTATATCTATCTCGATTCGTTTTGGCTGTTACAAACAACCGTTATGTGAACAAAATTAATATACCCTTGTGCACAAGTGCGCTCGGGTATAAAAACTTTGGGTATGAACGAGCAAATGGAACTTTGAAGGAGCGAATTAAATCGCTTTCGAAACCATAAGTTTTCCAGGAAGGTTAAGTTCAGACTTGACCAAACTTGTCGTAGCCACTTAAGACTTGGAATTATTTATTATACTAAAATTAAACTGCATACACATAATTTTGAAATTTGGATGAAAATTTGCAGAATTTTTGAAAATTTTTGCAGAAGTAGGAAACTTTGATGAATACCAGGGTGCCCATAGAAAGTTTGTTTTTAATTTAAAGACCCTACTCTTTAATTTCCTCGTGTTTTATGAGAAATACTTTTGCTTATTTTTATAGATTTTTTAAAAATCATTTAGAGGTAGGGATTTTTCATTTCAGGTCAGAAAATACGGTTTTGTAGATTTATCAGTGTTTGAATTACTATTTTTTATTAAATTAGGGTGCTCATCGATTTTTTTTTTTTTGGAAATTCAAGACCGTACTGCCTAATTTCCTTCCTTTTTATGAGAAATATTATTGCTAAAAATAGCTTCAGACACACAAAAAAAATTTAGATGGGCACACTAATGTATACATATACTTTTTAGTTATAGTATGTACTACATTTGCATAAAAAATTAACCAAAAATATTTAACATAAAAACATTTTGGGCTCATTTTTGTGAGTTACTGTATTATTGAGAGTTAAACTTAACATTTAACAATGAATTAATATTTTCCGCACTTAGAGAGTTACGTTTTTCATTTAAAATATTATGAAGAGCTGAAAACACTATTTCAGTTGAGTTTCCGGTGTAGCCAGCGCCACCTGTGCGAGGTCAGGGGTGATTAATTTAGCTTCGTATCGTTAAAGAACTGACTCAAAAAATTGAGTATACGGTAAACTATTTTAGATATTCAAAATGATTTTCATTATATCGACGGCTGAGTAGAAGATCGCCCTATCTCGGCCAAAGTTAATATGGTCACATAAAATGAATCTAAATAAATGCAACAAACTATCAAACATCATTTTATATCCTTACATTAAAAACTGGCGTTTACATTTTCTTTTTTTTTCTAACAAAACACCGATGATTTATTGGCGATGACAATGAATTTATATGAATGGTTTCTAATAATATGTAACCTGATCTGAACAGTTAAAGGTGACCTTACGTCCGAAATCAAGATTTCGAGAAAAACGATCTCAAAGTTAACAAGCCGATATTGATGATCTTGCAAGTTGATATGGTTTCAAACTCATTACTCGGGGTTTTTGAGGAAGCTGATTGCGAATATGGCATCAGATTTGCAAAATTCAAAATGGCGGACAAAGTTTAAATATTGAACATATTTGTTTCAAATTCGTTACTTGAAGGTTATTGGGATCGCTGTTTATGAATCTGGTTTGAAATTGTTGAAAACTCAGCATCTACGGAATGGTGTTGGGCTAAAAAAATTGATGTTTTCAATATCAGTTTGTGGTATACTCCATTGTTGGTTAAATTGGATCCACTTTTTCGATTTCTAAAAATCTGATGCCAGATTCGTCATCAGCGACCCCGGAAAACCCCCGAGTAATGAGTTACCGCCGTTTTGAATTTAAAAATTGGATGTCATTTGCGTAATCAGCGACCCCAAAGACTCTCGAATAACAATTAATTTTTATGCTATCTTTCTACTAAAATTGTTGTACGTTTTTTTTTACCAGTTAAGCTGTTCTTTAAAGTGCATACGTAAAAAGATAATGAAGCAAGAGATGCGCGGTACATTCCATTGAAAAGAGTACATGCTTTGATATAAGCATCAACGAAAAAAATAAAATCGATTTTTTCGAATCTAATGTCCTTTTTAACTGTCTATGTCACTCAAGTCAAATTTATCAGATTTAAATTTCTTCAAACCCTGGTAGGGGGTGAATTTAGATTTTCATTTTTTTAAAGACTATCCTAGTATATACGTTCAGCGCTCAAATCGCCAATTAAAGTTCACGCTTTCAATCAAAATTTATAAAAAACGCCACCCAGGAAATATTTGTGTACGTTCATTTGTACGTTTTCCTTAAGATAATAGAGGTGTACAGTGAAGCAAAAAAATTACCACAGAACAGAAAAACACAGAGTTAGTGAAAGAAACACAGACATAGACAATGAAAGAGACAGAGATAGTGGAATGCTATTGTATGCCGTTACCTTCAAAACTCAGCCTACTTTGAAAATAATACAAATTACTTTGCTTATAACACGGCTCATATGTATAGTAATTGGCATTCAATTCATCATTATCACCATTGTCATTGTTATCGATATTAAGTTCATCATCACAAATAACTTTTCTATGCCCAGCAACATCATGATCTTGAATTTTGTAATCAATATTTTGTGATTCTCTATTAACCAATGTAATCGAAGTGAATGTTTTGGTCACAGACGTTGTAGATGGCGGCTCTACAAAGCAAGCTGAGGCAGCTGTTGAATTTGCCGCGCCAATAGTAAGTGGAATTGTACATGTGGATGGCGCATTATGTGTTGACGTCACTACTACATCGGCTGCATTTTCATCGACACGATCATGCAACACAACATGCGCATGCGATATTTGCTATACGTTTGTGAAATTTTTTGTTGTTATTTTTCCATTATTCGCTTGATTTTAACATAATACAGACGTAAATAAAATAAAAATAATACATATGCAGCTACATACATGAGTTTTGCATTAGTAAATAATAAAATATTAGTTACAATTGCTTGCAGAAAAAAAAAACAATCAAAAATACGAAATACGAAATAAATAGAAATTTGGAAAACATATATGTAAAAGTGTCCGAAATATGTACATATCGACACCTGATATATGTAAGTCGATATCTCGGCAGCCAGTTCGAAAACGCCCCATCTCAGAAAAATGATCAAGAACTTGATTGAAGAACGTGTTATTTCAGAATTTTATTAAAAACACCCCATCTCAAAATTCGGTTGAAAAATGCTTTCTGAGATAGGACGTTTTCGAGCTGGCTGCCGAGATGGGTCGATGTTCTACTCAGGTATAGATATGCAATTGTATGTACTATACTACAAAATTTACAGAATTTTAGGCAAAATACATATACGCAAGTATTTCATACATAAACTTTAATTATTTAAAACACCCACCTCGCTGTCTTCGCATGCAAGACCATCATCCTTGGTTGAGCATAGACCTTGCACGAATTTTGCATCTGTTGAGGGATCCTCTGAAGCCAAATGTGCCCGAAATTGCTTATTTCTGTTAGATAAAATTTGTAGAATTCAATGGATTTATGATAACTTTTAAATTGTAATAACAGTTTTAAAGTAACATACCTCAACTCCAGCTGTTGCATTTGCTGCAAATGCTTTAACTTTTGCGTTGTACTTCGCAACTTTTCTTCCAATGAAGCATTTTCCACGCATTTTATAGAAAACTTCTCGGAAAAAGATAAAATTTCTCGTCGCAGCTCTTCAAGCTCCTCTCTGAAAAAAAACGATAACAGAAATAAATACATACATATCCATCGGCGTAGCCAGAATGAAATTTAGGGGGGTGGGGGGAGGGGGGGGCCGGCGCTGGCATTTCAGGGTACTATTATATATATATATATAAGGAAAATTTGAAAGTTAGGGGGAGGGCTCGAGCACCCCCCTGCCCCTACCTGGCTACGCCCATGTACATATCAGTATAACTTTTTTATATGTTAGACTGAAACACAATCGGGCAGTGCTAGCTATCCTAATTAAAAAGATTTTTATCCTTTTTCATGTAGAGGAATACTATACTGCAGGAACGAAATGCTATGGAAAGGCGCCAACCTAGTTGCACACACAGACGACAAAGCTGGGGCCGTGACTAAGAAGCCTCAGGATAAACGCTGATGAGTATAAGGTTACTACATGGAATCCACCGAAAGTAAGTGACATCGAACTAACTCTCAACAACTACGCAAATACCTTGCGGGTTTCATTAGGCGTATTCAATGATTGGTGCTAAACATAAATAGTTAAGCCAGTATTACCGGGCGGGGATTTGGTGTAAAGGACGGCATAGAGGGTGAAATACTGATTAGCTTGGAATAAACTCTCAATATTAGCCAGGTGAATGAATCTTCGGGAAGAAAATATGTCAGCGCTACAGACTACATGGCGACAAATATAGTTCCAGACCATAATCGAAGAAAGTGGATGGTGTAATGCATGAAATTTGGCTTTAGAGTCTTTAATATCTATTCTGATGGATCAAATTTTACCGGTGGAGAGGGAGGAAGAGTCTTTTGTCAAGAAATGAGCATTCAAACTGTCCTAATACTGCAAAATATTCTGAGCAGAGGTTTCCGCTGAAGTTGCCTAAACAGCAACGGAAAGCAGTTGTTTGTAGGTTCCTTCTAATACGTACGTCCAAACCAATAACCAGACGATTGTTAAGGTGTTCAGTCTTTAGTTCGCATCTACAGAAATCCATAGCAATTAAATGAGGACGGAACAGTTTAACTGCCTAAAAATTCTGTTTCTCGTAATTTGCTGAAAAAGCTAGGGTGGGCCACACGGAATGTAGTAAAATATTAAAACAACCAATGAATGTTTACTCCGCTGGATGCGGTAATATAGAGGAGACATCATAATCACTTACAGGCAATGCAGTCTGACCGATTAAATCTACTATAAATCTCCGGTTTCCGACTACGATTGACACAAAAACTCCACGACTAAGGGCATTTTGCAAAGCCTGCTTCCGCCTTATGGTTCAACTATCCACCGACGTACTTGCCGTCCGTATCAACATATGAAATTGCTATTTATTTATTTAGTCTACAGAAAAATGTTTTCTTACAGACAATTGAGATAAAAATATTCCGATATTTAAGTATGTATGATACATTACAGAGTGAACTAATTATACATATTAACTTGTGAAGATAATAATGATATACAATTGCAATTTGGGTAGCTGGCGAGGCCTAGTCTCCAGTCTACTTTTGTGTGCGGCGGGCGAATAGTCCTAGTTTCCGCTCCGCGCTGTTTACAGGCCGTTGATCATGGTCGGAAAGGCCGAGCTTCCGATCCATGTTCCCGTAGTCATTACTTTGTATGTGAGGCAGGCGGAAAGTCCTAGTTTCCGCTCAGCGCTATAGACGAACTGTTGGGCGTGGTCGGAAAGGCCGAGTTTCCGATCACTGCTCGTATTGTCCCACGCGGTCGCGAAAATATAAAAGCTTCAGGCGATCCTTGTAGGGTGGGAGATTTTTAGAGGAGTCCCAACATAAATTTTTGAGGGCAAATAACAGGAACTGTTTCTGCACTGATTCGAGCCTGTCACTATGAATTTGATAACTAGGATTCCATACTATAGATGCATACTCCAAAATCGGTCTAACTAGAGAGGTAAAGAGAACTTAAGTGACATAAGGATCGTTGAACTCCTTGGCCCAGCGCTTAAGAAAAGCCAACAATCCTCTAGCCCTAATCACGCAGGAGTTTATGTGAGACTTGAATTCTAGTTTCGGATCCATTGTTACACCTAGGTCAATGAAATTGGTCACTTGCTCAACATTGTGGTCAGATATCATATACGAATTTGGGTAGAACGATTTTCTAGAGAAGGTCATGAATTTACACTTTTTCAACTTGAGTGACATGGAATTTGGTTCACACCACTCGAAAATGCAGGTTAGGTCAGCTTGCAAATGCTCCCTATCTTCTGCAGTACTAATGTACTTAAAGAGCTTAACATCATCAGCGTACATTAAGCATTTCGAGTAATTCAACACCTTAGGAAGGTCATTTATAAATAAAATAAACAAGACGGGACCAAGATGGCTGCCCTGAGGTACGCCGGACGTGACATGTATTGGCCGGGAGGTACAATTTTTAAAAATTTCTCTTTGTTTCCTATCCCCTAAGTAAGAAGAAAGCCAGCTGAGAAGAATTGGAGAAAAAGAGAGAATCTCTCTACCGGCAACGAAAATGTCAACGTCATAAGACTTTCAGCTTAACAGGCTCTCTTAGTTTCACCTCATGGCGAGACTTTTGAGTCCCCGGATGTGGAAGCCGTCTTTAAAAATGTTAATTTGGTATCTATCAACTCTTCATTAGTGGCTATTTGGGAGTCGCTGAAGTAAGAGAAGCGGCTAAACTTTTACCTTCTCTGTTATAAAGGGTCGCGCCAAACAAATTTCTGCTTCGTACTACATCGAAAGGTATTAAAATTGTGGCATACATAGATGACCTAGTCATCTTTGTTTTACTACTACTAAACTGTAGCCCATCTGACTGCCAGATTGGGAGCCACGCATAACGATTTTTGTAGAAGCTAAGCGAGATATACAATCCATCCCGGACTCTCCAAGAGAGTGCCCCACACTTGTTTAAAGACATGCAGGGATAGGACATGGCACAGACGCTCCAGCCTTGAAAGTTTTCAGCTCGGAACCCGCTGGTGGCAGCAGAGAAAGAGGAAGGCCTCCTCTGCGATGGAAAGGCCAAATGGAAAAAGCCTTGGCTTCACATGCCATTTCCAATTGGCGTAAGTTGGCACAGAAGAAAAACAACCGACATGCTTTATTGAAAAAGAAAACTGCGACCTGTTAAAGATAGAAATCGCATGTAGGAAATACATGGAATCCGGAGCCCAGAAAAATGTGGACTTCTGAAAAGTGTGATCTCAAGCTCAACTTAGATTCGCTAAATGCCTTGGGAGCCTATTAGTGCCTATTATTTATAAGTCTACTTAAGATAGGAAGTTAATTTTATAGCTGATTAATTTAATAAATTTCTCCTCCGATTTGTTTACTTACTCATTTGCTTTGGCAGTATAGGCGGAATGTTCGCCCTTTTGAAATTGCTTCAAGAACTCCTGCTTGAAGCGCGCCACCTCGCGTTGTACTTCGCTTTGATGTGCTTTGCGCATAGCATCCAAGGCAGCTAAGGTGGCCTGTGATGGAAAATAAGAAATTTACTACTGTTGTACTTACTCTATAAATTTGGTTTTGTTCTAAAAAAAAAGAAATAAAAAATATAGCTGCGACTCACTTGTGTCTCTTCAGCTAAGGCAGTCTCCTTCTCCAATAGCAAACCCTCCATTTCTTGCCGATGTTTCTCCTCCAAATCGGCAACAATGCGCCTATGTGAAGATTCCATAGCCGAGAGTCCTTTTTCGCATAACGTCTAGTTGTAGTAATTACATTAGTATTATTGAAAAGCTTTTAAACATTTTAGATGTAAACCTACCCGAAGCTGCTCAATTTCCGCTTGATAGCGTTGCCGGAAGCTCTCATCATCGGTAGTTACGTTGCTAAAGTCGGGTGAATGCGCCATTAACTGATCACGGTATGTTTCTTGCAGGCACTCCAGCTGTTTACTATGCTCCAGTTCTAACATTTCCAGCCGCCGCTCGAAACGCCTGCTGCGTTCTTTCTCTTTGTTCAGTTCGGACTGTAGATAATCGCGCTCCTGTAGCAGCACGGCATATTCCTCGTCCTGACGAGCACATTTTTCCACCAACGCATTGCTTTCCTCTTTGTGAGCGCGCACTTGCTCCGCTTGTTCTTCGAATCGTCGCAACAATGACAATTGATCGCCCTGCTTGCCACGTAACTCTTGCTCTTTGGTGTGCAATTTCTCATTTACTCTTGCCAGTTCACTGGCTCGCATCTCCAACAATTCATTACAGCGCTGAAGTTCTGCGCTGATGGCATCCTTCTCAGCCTCGAGCTTCTTGAAAGCGTTACATTGATTTTCAAGCTGTTGAACGTAAGTGGTTTTATCTTTGGCATGCGCCTGCTGCAATTGTATCATCTCACTTTCGTGCTGTTGTTGAAGGCGCAACATTTTTTCATGCACCTGTCGGCAATGCTGGCAAGGCGTGTTGAGGGCGCGGTGTATCTCCTGGCAGAGTTGGTCGGCACGCTGCCGTAAATCACCGCATTTGTGGCAAACATCCTGTAAGCTTTCAATGGAGATGGTCGAGCGTGGCATGGATGTCGTGGAAGCGGATGCTGAAGCCTCGCATTGCAAAGCGATTAGCGAGTCCTCCAACTGACTGAGAAACGTTGAGATCTCAGACAGAACTTGGCGTTCGTTAAAGAAATCGATAGTATGCTGTTTGTAGATGAATTCGAAGTCGGCATCGGCTAGTATGTCGGCTGGATTATTGATTTGCAAGTCACTTGAAAGCTCTTCAAAGAGGCTCTCGTATCGTTGTAGGGCAGTAATGCCGATTTGGTTTGGTTGCTTAGCAGACTCTCTCTGAACAAGATTGGTATTCTCCTTAGCAAGCTGCTGTTCGACGTATTCACCGCGCAGGACTGCAATGCGTGCGTCTACGAGGGCTTTGTGAGCAATTATGTCTGCGAAATCGGGTAACAACTGACGACCTTCAGAAATCTTACGCTCTTGTTCCAACTGAAGCCGCCACTGACCGCGTTTCATTTTCTGTATGGCCTCTTTGTAGCACTGTGTTAGCTGCGCAACCGCCAACTCCATCTCTTTGCGCAGCGCATCGTGCACAGCATCGGCGAATTTCTCGAATGATAGCCGCTCTTCCGCTGTGAGCGTAAAACCAAAAGAAGGTGTAAGCGATTGCTCAAAGCGCTCTGCATTACGTAGCATAATGTGCGCAATCTCAGACTGCACGAGCTCGGCGTTGACTGTTTCTTGCGCCTGCCGCCAGGCTTCCTGAACAGCGCCCTGCACTAAATCATTCGAAGAAATATAGCTCAGTGTCTCTGCGGCCAATCCGCTGGCTAGATTTTCCATTACATTATTTTTGTAACGCTTAGCGATCAAATTGATTTCATTCTGTTGCCTGAGCAGATCATCCATAATATTCTGATCGATAGGGTCGAACGACTCTTTGCTACTTGTAGTCGTTTTACGGTAATTGGATAGCATCAATCTACGCGCTAATACACCCGCCAGTATGTCGATGGTGCCACTCGATTTGAGCGCACACTTACCGCTCAGCTTCGCTTTAAGCATGGTTACTAGATGCGATGTCTCCGCTACTTCCGCTCGCGTTTGCCGCTCACCAAAGAGCTCCGGGTTTTCGGCGCGCATAACCGAGTCGCGTAGTTTTCCAAAGCACACACTTTCAAATGCAACACGCTCAGCTAATAATTCCATATTCTTGCGTTCGGTCAGCTCGTTTCGCTCGCGCAGAACACGACGCTGCTTAAGTAGTTCTGCGAGTTTAGTGCGCAGCTGTGACTCGAGTTGGGTAAGCGCTATCTTCACTGGATTTGAATCAGGCAGCAGCATGACATTAGGCACCGTGTTTTTATCGCCGCTTCCGCTTATAACGCAGGTTTCGCAGGACTCACGTATTAGCTTGACGACCTCGCTAAGGCAACGCTCCACGAAGCGATATGAATCCTTGCGATCGGTGATGGGTGAGACAGAACGACGACTGTGTGAAGAGCGCAGGTTTTGTAGCTGGTGAAGACTTTGTTCAACGCGATCTCGACTTGTAACTAAAACGCTTTCGAGACAACGCAGACGGTCTAATAAATGCTCAGAGACCTTGGAGGAGTTTCGCGTTGCACTGTCGATGGTCGGCGTGCTGCAAGAGGGCGTAGATGAGGAGCTAATGGAACCCGCCACTGAATTATCCTCCAAACGTTTTTCCAAATCATTCAAACGTAACATAAACTGCAGCGGGTCGCTATTGCTGGCATTGCTCTCGAGTGAACGCCTCCTTGAAGATTTCTTTGAAACGGAACGACTCGTTTCTGAGCTTGCATTAGTGAATTTCTCCATTTCATCGATTTTGGCTTCTATTTCGCAGACCTTCAACTCCAGTTCTTTAGGTATGCTCAACTGCTCCTTGCCCTTCAACGAAAGCGATCTCCTGCGCTCCGACTTAGCCATCTTTTGCTTTAGCGTGCGCACCTGTCTCTCTGAGCTGCTATACTTCAGCGTTAAATCTTGTATGCGCGCAGCCATCATTTGCACCTGTGCACGATCTTCAAGCTCTTTGCGCTCGAGATCTTGCTTGAGTGACGTATATGAAATTTCAAGCGAATCAAATTGATTTTGTGATTGCTTCAACTCACGCTTCATTGCCCTTATCTCGTTAACGGCTTTCTCAAACCGCGTACGCAACTCATTATACTCATCTGCGAGCATATCGCGCTCCAATACAAATGGGTCAATGTCACCAATTTGTGTAAGGTCGCTCAGCGAATCCATGCGCTTAAGCTTAGCACGGTTTAACTGGCTGAAGCTGTTCAAGCTGCTGCCTTCCAGCTCGTGTACGCGCTTGTACAGTGCTTCGTTTTCATCGATACCCCTTGCCAGCCGATCTTCCAGGCCCTTGATCTTCTTTTGGCTCTCTTCTAACTCCTCCGTCAACCGACTTACAATTTCCTCCGCATTGCGTTTGGTTTCCTCCAACTGCGATGTTAGATTATCGCGTACAGCTTCCATCTCTTGCAAGCGCGCATTTAACTGCTGCTCGGTACGCTCTAATGTAGTAAGCAACTCAGACATGCGCGTTTCGCGCTCTTTGGCTTCGTCGCGCAACATATTACGCTCCTTCTCCGCCACACTGAGACGGAATTGCAACTCTTTGTCGATGTTAAGTTCCTCTTGAACTGGATGCATTGCAGGTGGCGGTGAAAGCTCATCTGAACCAACGCTATCCACGGTGCTACGACGCGACGTTGGTGGTGAAGAATGGCTGCGCTTGTGTGATCTTGTGCTCGTTGTGGTTAGAGAGCGCGCATATAAGCGCTCGCGATTTCGTAGTATCGAAGTTGTGATGGGCGGGGAAGGTGAGAGTGGCGAGCCCCAATCAACGCTGTCGCGGCGACCGCCTTCAGAGGCAGTGCGATACTCTTCGTCCGAAGAGAAATGTGCAGACTTTGGAGTAGAGGGCGTGGTGGTCGCATTAACGACTTTGGCAGAGGGAGTGCTGGCAGGTTGTAGCAGTACCTGTGGTGTGGAGGGTGGACTAGTTTCGGACAGGTGCTGATGGTGGGCGGCTTGGTGCTTGGGCGTTGCTGTTGGCTTTTTCTGTAATTCGTTATTGCGTTGCGCGTTAATAAAGTCCTTCTCAATTTCACTCTTCATATTTGTATTGCCGGCGTCGTCTTTGATAACCAACTCCACTGTTGGCAGCACATCGGCGTCTGTGAGTGGCGCGCTATTGTTTCCCGCACTATTGGTCGGTAGCAAGGCAGACAAACCAGCGATATTTCGTAAAATGGCGATCCAACTATTGCGTGAGCTGGGCGAAAGACTTGCCAAGATGAGGCGCCGTTGATCCCAAGACGTCAGCTGAAAGGCATAGCTCTTGCTGGCGCTCACTTCCGCCACATTCGTCAAACTATTCACGTCCAACACGCCATCCAACACGCCACGCTCCTCCGACACCGGGTCACGATAGTAGAAAAGCGCCGCACCGCTCAGCGAGAACCAATGCTTCGTCCAGTCACCCGTGCGGTTATCTTGCTTCATTAACCAACCCTTTTTAGCGTTGAGTGACTCCTCAGCAGGCAGATTGACACGTAACTCCGCCGTCTTGGCCAAGTAGTTGGTGCAGAGATCGTCAAGATTACAGCCGCCATCCGGATCGCCTCTTTCGTGTGCCTGCTGTTGCCTGTGATGTAGCTGTTGCTGTTGATGGTGGTGCTTAGGTTGTTGCAAGTGTTGTTGGCGATGTTGATTGCTTTCGTGTTTCTGTTGTAGATTTTTCAATTGCAATTGCAATCGTGGACTAGATTTGCACTTATTACTGCCCAGACCAGCAACGCCACCACCAACCCCTTTTCCAATTTCATTTATACTATTGCTGTTCTTATTGCTGCTATCATTTGTCGTAGTTACAATGTTGTTATTGGGGTTATTATTGGTGTTGTTATTACTGTTGCTGTTGCTGTTGCTGCTGCTGTTGGACGTCGATAACACTGGCGGTATCTTCTTGACTATGGCCGAAACAATGGCAGGCGTGGAATTTGCTGCCAATGGCAATGACTTTGGTCTCAAACTAGCAATACTGTTCTGTTTTTGTTGCTGTTGCTGTTGTTGTTTTTGTTGTTGCTGCTGATGATGCTGTAATTGTTGTTTGTTCGTTGGTCGATGGTAATCGGTTTCATCATGCGAAATTTTCTCTTGCGCCGTCGCCGCCGTATGATGCAGATGACTATTGAGTACATTATTGACAGTTGTGTTGGACCAGCGATTTTTCTGGTGACTTAGATTTGTTATAGTATTGGCGATGTCTTTGAATGTCTTCTCATCGCGACGGATATCCTCGATGAGTAGACATGATGATGAGACTAAAAGTAAAGAAATAGAAAAGAAAATATAAGAAAATTTCATAAGTGGTTGGTAAGTATGAGAATTATTGCAAATATAAATCAAAGCATCGTTCTGGAAGCGAAGCTATTAAAGGCATTGCGACCGAAATTATGACGCTAAGATTAAAGCAATCAAAAGAAGGACCTTAGAATGTATGTATGTACATATGTACGTATCGTTACATTCATATAACGCTTCAGGCTTAATTTCTTTTTCAATAAGAATGAAATCGTGCAAAGAATGCAGCTAATGATATGAAATCTATTATTGTTGTAATAGAGAAATGATATAGTGGCGAGGATTAAATCGCTATAAATTTATTGCTTGTACTCGCACATTCCATACATATATATATTAAGATATCTAGATTTTATAAATACCATACTAAAGTCTGTTTCCATTATCGCCTATGCCAATTTCAAGTTGTATATCGTTAGCTTAGAGTGAAGAGTTGCTTAGTCCACTTATTATGAAACACTATAAATATCCTATATGATCTCCAAAACCTGGTGACTAAATGGGCGGCCTCACCCTCAATCCTAGTAGCACAGAATTGGTCTTATTCACTAAGTACTAAAAGATCCCCAACAAAATTATTCTCTCGATTGGTTGTGATAGGCTGGAGCTATCCGACAGGTTTGATCTTAGATAGGAAGCTGACATGCAAGTCTAACATTGAGCAAATAGTGAGGTCTTATTCACTAAGAACTAAAATATCCCCAAAATAATTCTTTCCTCGATTGGGGGTGATAGGCTGGAGCTTTCCGACAGGTTTGATCTTAGACAGGAAGCCGCCACGCAAGTCTATCATTAAGGAAATAGTGAGGTAGGCATCGGGCCTTATATTGCTGTAATGGAGCTATGGGTAGGAAATAAGAGAATAATTGTAGTAGGGTCAGCGCTTAGCGTTGCTGAGTTTGCACATCGATGATTTGGGCTGGATCCCTGTTGAAGTCTAGAAAATAAGCCTGATGAGATGAAGTGATTTCCAAAATAGCAGCTATAATTTCTACACTTAGACATTGTAGCTTTTCCCACTCCCGTGGTATAAAACTCAATAACCTTGCTGGAACTATAAATGTTTTATCGAGCTCTTGTATAGTGGAAAGAGTTTTACTAGTTAGGCAGCTATGTAGAACGCGTAGCTCATCGTCGGGTTACTCCATGTGATTATAACGCCTGTTGTCATTACAGGCGAACCTGCCGCAGCACGGCAGTTTCTCTGCGTTCCGGAAATGACTGCAACTAGCTCTTTCTCTAGACACATTCTCTCAGAAGATTATTGGGTATGCTAATGTCGCTGGAAGGAAGGATGCAGTGAACTTTTTTACCGATGAGCCGAAGAGTGATGGAAGGTTTGGCGATAGGGTATTCTGCCACCAGCATTATTAACGAAGCAGTAGACACACTTTTCGAAATCAGTAGGGGAGGTAAGCACTATTTCGGTAGCCACGCAGCAGTCAGGACTCTAAGTTCACTTACGCTGCGGTTAAAACTGGTCAATGCGTGTCTGACCTCCTTCTCCATGGCTGACAAGTTAGCGAAATAGTGGACATTCACGAACGCTTAGACAAATGGATTTAGCAAAGTCCGGGGGCGATGGAATCGTTTGCTAACTGCCACAGTGGCCCAGAATATAATCAAGTGAAATCCACTCAACTTTTTTAACTATGCAGTCAAGCTTTCGCGAAGATATGATTGAAGTACACATACTTAGCTATGTTTTCTGGTACTTTATAACCAACCCTGAGGAACACTCAGCGATTGATATGCACTGTCTCCACAGTCTCCGGAGTTTTGATACAGACTTTGTGAATTTCGACAACTTGTACTATATCCTTGATTTAGCCCCCACCGACATTTTGTCCTGATTACATACAGGAAGAAACGGCTCTATATTAAAAGATTTTTTCACTATATGTATACGAGAAGGATTTGGCGGCTTTCGAGAGAACTATGTTACGCTAGATCTATGACCCAGTTCGCGTGGGCATCGAGTATCGAAGAAGATTGAATGACGAACTAACTGTACGAGCTTTTTAACGACGTGGACCGTGGTAATCGCATAAAAATATAAAGATTGCGTTAGCTTGGACATGTTATACGCACAGTACGCACGTACGTGAAAGCCTAATGGCTCCGTGAGGCACCACTGATTTAGGATCATGAGAAATCGCTTTACTTGGAAGGGATGAAAAAATTGGCAATAACTCCGACAGAATATATCGAGTTAAAAGGAGCTATGGTGAGAAAGAAAACACTTTTTTGATAAAAAAAAAAACTCTATTCTATCGTTATAGCCAACTACATAAAATCCAGAAAACTTTTATTTAATGGTTCATTATCGCTATTGTTTCATGTGATTAAATTGTAGTAATTAGAATATTAAGTAAGGGTTTGCCGATTTTTTTAATGTACATAACTTTTGAGTTCCGATACGATGCTTTCTACTTTTTGGATGGCGTTTGTAAGCTATCTTAATATCTTGAGCATGATACAACATTCCTAAAAAGTGGACAGTAAACAAAAAGTTAGAGAGAATAAGCCAATTCAGTTGTATCTACAGGGCGTCGAAAAAATTTTACATTCCTGAGATACTTCCGAAGTAAGCGTTCAAAATGTATGTACGTTATGCAGTTTAATGTAGGTATACACATAGAAATCTGTGTATGTAAAAATTACCATTTTCATGATTTATGGATCGGAAAACGTATTTATGTATATGTATGTAAGTAGATCTAGCCGCCAAAGTGAATCATTAATTGAAAACTGCATTAAAGTGCCTTACTATGTGCGAAAAGATGAATTTTTGCTTAATTTTAATTTAAATTAGTTTAATGATTTCAAACGAATTACGCAAGTAATTAAAAATAAAGGCAAATCACTTCAAAAATTATTTTAAGATATTATGTAATTATAAAGCTATTATGCGTATGTATGTATGAATTAAGTTAGCAAAGTACGTACATATTTATTTGGAAGGCGAGATATAGATAAAAATAACGACACTTATTCTTGTTAGTTGCACTTGTTTTTAACATTTAAATTTATCCTTTAAACAGAAAGCGGGTCTGGAGCTTTGATATACATACATATATAAGTAGAAAAAAACATTGAAATTTTAATTAGTATACATATATTCAGTGCCAAACGCTAAAAAATATTTGAAATTAATTTTATTGTGCTCAAATGAATATGAGTGCCCAGATACATATGAGGAGGAGGGGGGAATTAGTATGGCTGGGTTCCAAGTTGCATTAATGCAAAGCATCAGCCTCTTTTATTTCTAAACTATAAATAATGGAAATGTCCAATTTGCGCAACTAAGTTCCAGTTCGGCATTTGAACGTGGTTGCGCGTATTGGACTTTTCCTTCAGCTATATTTCAGAAATAAAAGAGGCTGATGCTTTGCATTAATGCAACTTGGAACTCAGTCTATATGCTGTATGCACACAAATTTATTCTACTTCAATATGATTTTTTTACTACAATGTTAAGCAATAAAACCTATGGAACTTTTACTTAAAGATGACTAACAATTAAACGACACTCATTGATAGATCCTTTAATTTTTATTATTTATTTGTTTGTACTTACTTATTTACATAGCGATGGTCCTCTGCAATAACGACACAACTTAAAATTTAATTTTTTTAGTTATAAAGCGGATTAGGTTAACAGATAACCATATTTTTCTGTGGTAAATCGACAAATGCTTAGTTGTTACCAACTCGTCAGGGGCGTTCCTTAATAGCGAACAGTAGCGTTATTTTCTCATTTATCGTGAATATTGGCATAAGTAAAAAACTTACGATAGGTTAGTGATGCGTTTATGTGAAATAACGACATTTTTCGTATTGTACCGCTGTTCATTATATAGTTTCAGTAAGAGAATTCGATTTTTTTAATGCGAAATAACGACATTTTCCGTTTTGTGCCGTTGTTCAGTAGTACCAGTGTAGTTATTTTCTTAGGTGTTGTTACTTATTTCGTATTTTTCAGTCGAAACCTTACTAAACCTTTAGAAAAAAGTCATAATTTGAAAGCTTATAAATTTTCTTTAGAGAGTGACTGCAAATAATCCGGAATAATTACGTCCGAAGGCATATTGTTATTATTATTGCTAAATTACGAAGCACAAAATCTTTAATTAGCTTTACTGAAAAATATGAAATTTTGAGTTGTGTCGTTATTGTAGAGGACCATCGATATGTATGTATGTATAAAAGGAAAGAAAATATTTTTGAAAGATGAAAATCTCATTGACTGCATCTTGTCCAAGCACACTGGGCGACGTATACAGTTTGTGCCCTGTTTTCCTTATCAAACTCATCTATTTTCTCTACAATGTTGCATTGTCTATCAATAAGTAAGTCACGTATGTGTATATCTTTATTTGGATATGAGAAGGAAAATGTAGGTTTTCTGAAACTATACTTACATCGCATAGCGATGCAAGCTGGTACATCTCGCGTGAAAACTATGGACCGGAAAATTGTTTCTAACCATTTTAATTTGACAGGATACAAAATATCACCTGCGTTAGCCCTAGATGATGATATGATAGGGCTGCCATAATCCTGAACCCATCGAGCAGGGCTCTTATCATCCAAATCAAAAACAATGATACAAGTGAATATGCTGCAAATGTATTCCCTATAAGTGCAGTTTCTTTGCCTTTGTAGTTTTTAGGCACAATCCGTAGAGCTGAATGATTGATGATGATGAAACGCTCAAGTTCTGATTTTTTTGTTTTTAATCATTTCTCCTGAAGGGGACGTAACTTGGAAAAATGTTTGGCGCCTTTAACGTGATCTTGAATGCTTGCCTTACCACCATTAACAAATTTCCACATATCCTACAATGCGCTTCATGATTATTTTTGCCACTGAGCGAGTGTACAATGGTTTTTCAACCTAGTTATTTTAATTAATCCGATTGTAAGAAATGTGGTTCAAGTTGAACATTTGAAAACAC